TGTGTAGTCTACTTCTCAGATTTCGTATGAATCCTGTTGGTATTGTTGCGGACATCGAAAAAGCATTTCTACAATTAAATTTACAGGAATCTGACAGGGATGTCACTCGTTTTTTGTGGCTTAAGGATACATCCTCTCTTTCACTAGACAACAATGTTGAAGAGTATAGATTTTGCAGAGTACCATTCGGAGTAATTTCTAGTCCTTTTCTATTGAATGCAACTATACAACATCACTTACTCCACTCTCAACTTTCTGGGGTTTCTGAACGTTTGAAACATTCATTTTATGTCGACAACATGATTACTGGAACTCAAACCAGTCAGGATGCGGTTATTCTTTTCCAAACGATTGAAACTATTTTTTCACAAGCTAGTATGAATCTATGGGGTTGGTGCTCTAATTCTAAGCTATTTATGGCAAGTATTCCTGATGATAAAGTTACTACTGAAAATGAAGACAGTGTTTGTGTATTGGGAATAAAATGGGATACAATCAAGGACACGCTCTCTGTAAAACCAGTTAAAGTTGAACCTTGTGTTGTAACGAAGAGGACTGCACTGAAACTAGTAGCTTCCATTTTTGATCCTTTGGGTTTATTTACTCCTGTAGTTTTGAAAGCTAAGTTATTCATTCAAAACTTTTGGCTTGAAGGCGTTGATTGGGATGAAGAGCTGAACTCAGAACTTACAAAGGTATGGATGCAGATTCAATCAAACCTACTTAAAATTCCTGAGGTATGTATTCCAAGATATGTTGGAATCATTGGTGATACTTTAGAGTTACATTGTTTCACTGATGCATCTAAAGATTGTTACGCTACAGCTGTTTATTTGCGATTAAAGAGTAATAATACATCCACGACAAAATCAATACTTATTTTCTCTAAATGTCATGTAACCCCTAAGTCTAAGCCAAACATCACTATACCACGATTGGAATTACTTGGTGTTTTAATTGGGGTAAGATCATTGAAGTTTACTAAAACTGAGCTGAAGACTTCTGTGACACGAAAAATACTTTGGACAGAGTCACAATGTGTTCTCCATTGGTTGAATACAAATAGGATACTACCAAAGTTCGTTGAGCGAAGACTCTCAGAAATTAAATCACATACCGATGTAGAGTTTCGTTACGTACCTTCTAGTAACAATCCTACAGATTTGGCGACTCGCGGATTGACTATTAATGAGTTGCAGGAGAGCCAGTTATGGTGGTCAGGCCCTGAATTTCTAGGTTCATCGGAACATGAATGGCCACGAAATGACTTTAATCAAATCACTTCAATGTCAGAACAAACTTACCAAGACACATTGAACACTTGTAAACTTCCCATATCTAACCAAGAAGTTATGGCTGCAATTCAAGAAACCACAAGTAAAGGAAGTACTTTTGACATTGATTGTACAAAGTTCTCGTCTCTAGATAAACTAATTCGAACGACATCATATTGCAAACGAGCTATTAAAGCATTCAAGAAACTTTCAACTCCATTTACATCCAACAAATTGAGCTTCGAAGAGCTTCATGAGTCTACTTTATGTTGGTTGAGATACATACAAAGCTTACATTTCAGCACTAGTATTAAAAGCTTAAAACTTGGCAGGACTGATCATCTCCAAAAACAGTTAGGGTTGTTTTTGGATGAATATGGAATATTGAGATGTAGAGGAAGACTTCAAAATGCTTATTTGTCATCGGAAATGAAATTTCCTGTGCTTTTACCTAAAAATGACCACTTTACCAATTTGGTAATAAATGACTATCATGTAAAACTACAACATGTTGGTGTTCAACATACTTTATCGGAAGTCCGAAAACACTATTGGATTATTCAAGGAAGATCTCAAGTGTCTAAGATTATCAGACAATGCACTAAATGCAGGAGGTGGGATGGAGGTCCATTCAAAATGCCGTCTTTCCCTGCCCTACCTCTGGAACGAGTTACCCAAAATATTCCTTTTTCATACACTGGTCTAGATTACTTTGGTCCGTTGTACGTGAAGAGCAATGAACTCACTAATGACTCAAGAAATGTATATGGTTGTATTTTTACATGCTTAACTGTTAGAGCTATTCACCTAGAACTGGTCAGTGATATGACGTCAAGTGAATTCTGGTTGGCTTTGAAGCGATTTGTAAGTAGAAGAGGAAAACCTTTGGAGATATATTTGGACAACGCTCCACAGTTCAAACTAGCTTCTTCATTCTTAGAGAATATCTGGGAAAACAACTTCGTAGATGATGACGTCTTATCTTTTGTACATAGCAATGGGTGTAAATTCAACGTCATCCCCGAATTCGCTCCTTGGATGGGAGGATTCTACGAACGGCTCATTTCTAGTGTAAAAAAATGCTTGAAGAAAACTATTGGACAATTGAAGTTGACATACACACAGCTAGAAACTGTATTATACGAAACTGAGGCCATTTTGAATTCAAGACCTCTTGTGTACGTTTCTTCCGAAGACATATGCCTCAGTGATGAAATCATAACACCCGGACATTTTTTGAATTTCCATGGTAAAAATGGTTTGATTGGAAATTTAAAGTCACATAACATCCAAACTAACAAGGACTTCGAAAGAACATCAAGAAAAAACATTCTTGAAATTTGGAAAAAAGGAGAAAATGTGTTAAGTTTATTTTGGAAGATCTGGCTTCAAGATTACTTAATGAGCCTACGTGAAAGAAAAACAACTGAAATGAAGCAGAAAAAAGGAACTACAACAAACAAACCAAATGTTGGAGAAACTGTTCTGATCCATGAAGCACTACTACGAGGAAGTTGGAAAATGGGCAGAATAGTAGAACTTCACTCAAGTCTAGACGGAAAAATAAGAAGTGCTACAGTAATTCTCAGCTCGAAGAAGAAAGTTGTACGTCCCTTAAATCTTTTATTACACTAGAAGTGAAGAATTATTAGTGTTTGTCCTTCGCCCGGAGTGTGCCAAAGGCATGGATTACATTAATATATTTAATGCCAGCTGGTTATAATTCATTTGTTATTGTTTTGAACTTATAATTGTTACTAAAAAAATACAAAAACTGTGAACCAAACTCTCAACTTATTTCAGTTTTATCTAACTTTTAATCTTATAAAACTAACTAACTTTAAACTTGAACAACTAACTATTCGACAACATGTGTATTAATTGGTAATTACACATTGTCGAAAAAAACTAATTGTAATTACTTGTAAAAAATTTTAATAACTCATTCCAAAAAAAAAACTAATTGTAATTACTTTTACAAATAAAAACTAATTGTAAATACTTATTAAAAAAAAACTAATTGTAAATACTCATAAAAAACTAATTGTAAATACTCATTAAAAAAAAACTCATTACACAAAAAAAACTAATTGTAATTACTCATTGTAATTACTAATTTCCCGGAGGCGGAGGCATGTGTGCTACTGAATTTATTCTTCTACTCACATGGTTATGAAAAACAATTACGTAGTCGAGGTTAGCCCACTCCATACTAGTGTAACTGTGTAGCCTGGAATGGACCTCTTGTGACCTCGGTTGCACGACAACGCTATTACACAAATAATTGTTAGAAGCCCCGTTCACACGGGGCGAGTTTACAAGCTACACGTCGGCATTTTTACACGCAGCTAGTAAAATAGCTCAGTGTGAACGACGTACTCGCTCAAAAGCTGCTTGTAAAAAAACTCTGGAAAAAGTTGACGCTGCCGCTACTTTACACGCCAACTCGCCAGCTTTTGAACGAGCAGGCGTGTAAAGTAGCCCAGTGTGAACACAGTTGCTTGTGCTTGTGCGCTTGTTACTCAAAGATGTTGGAGGATTTGGTTCAAGCCAGCTACTGAGCGAGTGGAAAAAGCATCGTGTGAACGACTACAAGCACACTCGCCAACTCCCCGGCTTCTGACACGCTGGCGAGTAGCTTGTAAACTCGCACCGTGTGAACGAGGCTTTATATGTCTATTTGCAATATTTAGAAGGTAATGAACAATACTAAGCACTTTTTAGCTTATTAAAGGCACGATCACACATGGCGACTAACTAGCCGCTACTTTAGTCGCCGCTATTTACTCGCCGGCAAATTTTCGATCTCTGTTCACACATCGCGATTTGTAGTAGTTAGTACAGTTCGACGATTCGTTGTGAGTAGGGTTTGCTGTGGAAAATGTCTGTAGGAAGGCGAGAGACTTTGAGACGTGTATTGAGTATCTGTGTTAAGGAACTTTGTGATGAATTAGTGAATAAATTAAGAAATAAAAGAAAACGTAAGTGGGTCCGGGAGTGGATAGGGCGAAGGGATAGGCTAGGTGCTTCTGCGACACTATTGAAAGAATTGGCAAGTGAAGATCCCCAATCTTATTACAACATTATGAGATTAACAGTTCCAAAGTTTGAGGAGTTGTTAAAAATGGTATCACCATTAATAAAGAAGGAGGATACCCCCCAATCTTATTACAACATTATGAGATTAACAGTTCCAAAGTTTGAGGAGTTGTTAAAAATGGTATCACCATTAATAAAGAAGGAGGATACACGATGGAGGGAAGCAATTTCTTGCCGTACCAAACTGGAGATAGCTTTGAGGTATATGGCGAGTGGAGACAGCCTTAAATCACTCCAATACCTTTTTAGAGTACCATACAATACAATTTCCGTTTTGTTACCTGAAGTGCTGAGTGCCATATGTGAAGTTCTTCAGCCATTTATGAAGGTAAGATTACTTATTTTCTTCAATAGCAATAATCTTCAATACTATGTTAAATTAAAGTAATGCAGGCTTGGGAATTCAATATTCAAAGCACAATGAATGCATTTCTCATTATTTTAACGTATGGGGAATGCGTCCATCATACTGGACATTCTCTGCATATAAGTATACTATTTATTCAATTGCAAATAACATTTATAAACTAAATCAATCCCCTATAAGGAGGCCAAAACATTGAAAAAAGTAATAACAAAACATACTAATCGTGACATATTCTTTATTAATGAAACACAGTATTACATTCACGGTTTTGGCATTTCGCCAATCTCTAAAAGTGCTTTCTGCACGAGGTCTAGTCCGGATGTGTTCGAGTTGTCATACGGCTGAATCTGTAACGGACTATAAACATCACAACTACTTGAAGATTCAGCAGGCGAGGGCGTGAACTGATTTGTAAAGTCGATTTGATTCAGTCTTTCTCTAGTAATTAAGTTTTGTATTTCCTGTTGCAAAAGAACAAAACTCCTCAGAGGTAATTCTCTTAACTGAGATCCAACGTGCTTAGCGAATCTGTCATAATACTGGTCATCTGTAACGGTTTCAGTTTCCTGCGGCGATACCATCATGGCTATGTTTTCCAGCTTATCTACGGAGGATTCAAAGCGGGTCGGGTACTTTGAGTTACTGCCTGTGGGATATGGCTATGTTTTCCAGCTTATCTACGGAGGATTCAAAGCGGGTCGGGTACTTTGAGTTACTGCCTGTGGGATACTTTATCATATTGCCTGGCTTGAAAGGTTTTTTACGAAGACCGGGTGGTGGCATGCTACTTGCAATCCTTTTTACAGGTAGAACAGGCGCAGGTGCTGCGGTTGATGTTGCGGTTGCAGTCTGCTCTATTAACAAACCATCTACGTTTTCCGGTTCATCCCCTGCATTGTCGTCTTCGGCTACACTCTGAGTGTCCCAATCCTGTGGAAAAACACATCAATATACAACTAATGCCATTCAAAGCTCGGGCTCCTGAAACCATTGTTAGTTAAATGAAGCCAAAGTCTGCATAAAGTTAGCTATACATATATATATATATATATGTGGGTTTTCACAAAATTCATAATAAACTGGCAATTTTTATACAGTAACATCTAGAATCTTTAGATAAATAAAATGTAGTATTTTACAGGCTTTTTTATTTGTAGGTACCAAACACCGAAGAGGAGTGGAATGCTATTATGCAAGCTTTCGACATTTGGAATTTCCCAAACTGTTGTGGTGCTGTCGATGGGAAGCATGTGCTGATAAGAAGACCACCAAACTCAACTTCAGAATTGTTCAACTACAAAGGGACCTACAGTATAGTACTGTTAGCCGTAGTAGATGCTGACTATTGCTTCAGATACATAGACGTAGGTAGTGATGGTAGAGCGAGTGACAGCACCATATTCCAGACTTCTACTTTCAACTGTGCACTAGAGCAAAATTTGTTAAATTGGCCAGAGGGAGGGGTTTTAGTAGGAGACGATATCTTCCCTTTGGGAAGTAACTTGCTGAAACCATACGCTCATAGAAAGCTAACACTCCAAGAGAGGATTTTCAATTACCGCTTATCAAGAGCTAGGCGAGTTGTAGAAAACGCATTCGGGATTTTATCGTCAAGGTTTCGTGTATTCAACACTCCGATCGCACTCAAGGTAGATACAGCTGAGCTTCTAACTAAAGCTTGTTGCTCAATCCACAACTGGCTTAGAATGACAGCTAGTCGGGCGTATTTACCACCAGGATCAGTGGACGAGGAGGACATCATTACGGGCCAACTCACCGGTGGCTCGTGGCGGAATGTACCTACTACATTGAGCCCGATAGAAAAGCAATATAAATCCAATAACTATGCACAGGATGGAGAAGATGTCCGCAATGCATATTCTTATGCTTTCGTGTCCCATATGGCTGTACCGTGGCAGAAGAAAGCTGTTGGCCTAAGTAAATAAAAATGGACATTGATGGAATGGTAATATAGTACCATGAAATGTGACTGTAAATATCATATGTTTTCTCTTATTTTACAATTATGTAAATATATTATACCAACAATGTTGCGTTCATTATTTTAATCAACTACTGTAATAAGTGTAAGTACAGATTATGATGTTTATTTACATTACTTTCGTAATTACCAAACAGGACGTAATGTACTAAAACTGAAAGATAAAATACCTTAATTACATGTGAAACAGAAAGTTAATCATGTATAATTTGTTTTTAAATTGTTGGTATAATTAATTTAAAAATAATTCAAACATGCTTAATTTTCAGTTTCCTATTTCGTTTCAATATTTTTATCTCTTAATTGTTGTGCATTACAAGTTTGGTAGTTCTGATTTCCAGATAAATAAGAAGGCAGGGCATAAACAAGAATATGATGTTTTTATGTACTTACATACCGTATTTCATTTAATACAAAACTGTATTTTTAAAACGAGCCTTTTTAACCCATCTTCAGGATAAAAAAGGCTTGCTGACTTGAAGTTTGACCTGTCTAGGATTAATTAATCATGTACAGTAATTAACTTACCATACTTGAAGATGATTGCCTCCCGGATAACACGCTATTCCAGAAAGCGTCTGCTGCAACAAACCAAACCAACTTAGGTTTATACACCTCACTTGCCCCGGCACCACTCTTCTTCGACTTCTTTACTTTGATCAGTTCGTTACGATATGCATCACGTAAGTTTTTAATTTTTTTCTTCAGCACATCTTCAGTCACTATTATTCCATTAAGTCTGAGTTCATCAAGCAATTTGGCAAACGCCTGTTGCTTCGAGTCGCGTTTTAGATATTCAGGTGACCTAATGTCCCACAAACACTCATGCTTTCTGTAAATTTCCAGGAAAGTAACAAGTTGGTCACTACTCCACTTCACACTATCGGCCATCTTTAGTATAGAATCCGTATAAACTGACAAAACGTTATTAAAAGGAGCAAAACACAACCACGAGTCGTCAGATCGCAAGCTACCGGCTTCTAGTCGGCGATAACACTATTCACACAGGGCGACAGGGTTGCTACCACTCGCGGCGAGTGTACCACGTGACACTTCAAGGTCAGCTACTGGAGACTACTCGCCCCAAAAGTTAAACATGTCCAACTTTCCTCGCGAGTGATTTTTTACTCGCCGGCGAGTGCTAGTCGCCGCTACTTACTGTTCACACATAGCGATTAGTAGCCGCTACTCTAGTCGCAGCGAGTAAAGTCGCCATGTGTGAACGTGCTTAAAGTAGTAAACACCTTGATTTTATTTCAAATAAAAAATTATCTAACATTTTTAACTCACTACTATAAAAACCTATTGCTGGCATCTCCCCTTAAGTTTTTCTTTTGATATGTGTTAAACAGATGGTTATGAACAAAAAAATACGTAGTCGAGGTTAGCCTACTATTTACTAGTGTTGCTATGTTGCCTGGAATGGACCTCTTGTGAGCTCGGTTGCATGACAACGCTATTACACAAATGTTTCATATTTTTAGTTACATTATTTAACAAATAATTTAAAAATTAATGAGTTTTTATGTTTATTTACATTATTTAGAGGTTTATTCACATCAAGAGGCTAAGTTATGTGGTTGGAATTCGGGGGTAAACATAAACCTGGGGCCCATTTCATAATAAACTACAAGTTACAACTTGTAACTTGTAATTTCCATTAGATATGCATTAGGCGATCAGCTGATTTACTAATATTATTAGTTTGTTCTTTATTATGAAATGGGCCCCTGATGCCATGTTTCTTAGACAGTTGAATGATTTTTACATTGAGGTGACTAGACAAATTGTCTCCAATAACCACTTTAGTCAAACTCAATTTTTTCAAGTGTGGTATCACCACAGTCCAATGATCAAAACGTTACGCTGTCAACCCACCCTGATGATGTACGGTTGTAACGTCAATCTGGAGGACCCCCTTCAGTCCAGGTAGTCCATAATTCCTTGGACTTTTAGACAACATGTGGTGGAAGCATTGTCCCCTCTGTACTGCCACACATCATGATAGATTTCGAAGATTTTGTTAATACTATTTTTATATTTATTAAATGGACAGTTAAATTAATTGGAATCGATTCCTTCAATTTGATATATAAAACCTTCAAAAAATCATTTAGTTTTTCTGATACTAAAATTCAAAACTTTTTCTGAGGAAGTAAAAAATCTTGTTAAAGGTAAACACAATAAGAATGGTAAACAAAAATTCGCTATACTCTTAGATATTTTATTTACGTTAAAATATTATGTACGTAAACATTATTATTAGTAAGGTTGAAGTCAACTCAAGCCAGCTTCCATAAATTACTTGGGAAAGTTTTTACAGTAATTATATTAGGGTAACAGTTAGTTTAGGACAGTCATAATTATCTTTACACCGTAAAGTATTTAGCTACAGTATTGTTGAAAAGGGCTCTGTAATATGATTTTTCTTCGTCTGGATATACTAAAGCATTGATTTTAAGTCTTTGCTTTTTGTGATGCAAGTACAGGCTTAAAGTTTTTTTATGTGGTTGGAGAGTTTGCGGGAGCGTCGATGTGTCTAACTGAAGAGCAATAGATGATATGTTAATCTTCTTTTTATTAAGTTTCTAAGGCTTTTCATGCAGTTTTTTTTTTCTAGGACATTCCCTCTTGATACTACAAGAAATTGAATCTCCTTTATTAAAACGTGTTCTGTATTTAATTGTAAACAAGTCTTTGCTATTCAGTGAGATTTCTTTCATTTTTTTAATGAAACTAAAGAGTAGTTCAATGTTTTTGCTGCGGTTTGAAAATCAAAAAGTCCGATGGTGTCATTTGCATTACATTGATTTTCCTCTTGTTCCCTACTAACCAATTTGAATAATAGGATTAATAAAAGGATACTAAATGTTTATATTGGTTTCAACCAACTTTCAATGTCACTGTATATGCAATCCATTTCCTACAGAAAACCGTTGTATTAATCCATTAACAAAGAAATTTTCCTTTAAATGTAAACATATCGTTGACAGTTAGAAAAGATAATCTTGATCCGAACAGCTGTTTGTTATTTCATAGATGATTATGTGATAAACATTGGAAGACAACTAAATCGCACTAAATTGGTGTTTTAAACGTTCGTAATTTTATTTACAAAGTAGTGAGGCCATATTTTAATAGCTAAAGACACTCTCGCCAATCCATTGAATACGTAAAAATGATTGACATCTTGATAGGTACTCTCGTTTTTCAGGAGAAGGCCGCATAAAATGGCTCATGGACCGTAACAGACAGACAGGCGGACAGAAATTGACATGAGACTTGTTTCGGCTTCTGTAATGTATAAAATGTAAAAATAACAAAAAAGATTATGATTCTGAGCAATGTACAGACAAAACACTAATTTTTTTATATAGATATACATTATTTAGAAGGTAATGAAAAATACTACGCACTTTTTTGAGTATTAAAGTAGTAAACACCTTGATTTTATTATAAATAAATAAATTACCCATATTACTAACTTACTACTGCTTATAAACACATATGCTTATACTAACTTATAAACACATATTGCTAGCATCTGCCCTTAATTTTTTTTTATGTGTTAAACACATGGTTATGAACAACAAATTACGTAGTCTAGTTTAGCCCATTCTTTACTAGTGTAGCTATGAAGCCTGGAATGTACCTCGTGTGACCACGGTTGCACGACGACTATAATAATGAAATTGATGTATTATATGTCTATTTACATTATTAAGAGGATAGTGAACAATACTAAGCATTTTTTAGCTGATTAAAGTAGTAACCACCTTGATTTTATTCCAAATAAAAAGTCTAAATCACTAATTTATTACCATAAAAACCTATTGCTGGTATCACCCCTTAAGTTTTACTTTCGTTTTTCTTTTGATACGTGCTAAACACATGGTTATGAACAAAAAATACGTAGTCTAGGTTAGCGCACTCTTTATTAGTGTAACTGTGTAGCCTGGAATGAACCTCTTGTGACCTCGGTTGCATGACGACGCTATTACACAAATTGATGTTTCATATGTCTACTTACATTATTTAACAAATTAGTGTTTATGCTTATTTACATTATTCAAAGGGTATTTAACGATACCAAAATTCTTTTTGCTTATTAGAGTATTAATTTCCTTAATAATAAAAAGTCTAAATCACTAATTTATTACCATAAAAACCTATTGCTGGTATCACCCCTTAAGTTTTACTTTCGTTTTTCTTTTGATACGTGCTTAACACATGGTTATGAACAAAAAAATACGTAGTCTAGGTTAGCGCACTCTTTACTAGTGTAACTGTGTAGCCTGGAATGGACCTCTTGTGACCTCGGTTGCATGACGACGCTATTACACAAATTGATGTTTCATATGTCTACTTACATTATTTAACAAATTAGTGTTTATGCTTATTTACATTATTCAAAGGGTATTTAACGATACCAAAATTCCTTTTGCTTATTAGAGTATTAATTTCCTTAATTCATCGTTCTATCAATTTGAGCCATGACATCTTTGCTGGTATGACCACTGTTTCATAAATAATAATCCAGCCTAAAAATATTGTGTAAAAGGCGATAATAATGATGATAAATGTTATAGTTACAACTGCGTATATTTAAATTGTACAACACAAAATAATGACAAAAGAAAATGTTAATAATTGTAAGAATAATGCAATTGTCATATTTTACTTTTAAAACCAATCATACACCTGGTGGGGCAGGCTTCTCTCGTGGTTGAGAGGGAGGTTCCTAGCGGGGCATCAGATTTGGGGTTTGAGGGGTGTATTGATGTTGTGGGGGATGGAAGGGAAGGAGATAAGGATTTAAAGCGATTTGATGTGGGGTGTGGATGAAAGAAGGCCTTGATGGTTGTGGATGGGGGACATGACAAACTGGGACATGATTTCGAATGGGGTTGAGTGGGGGAGGAGGCTGTTGGATGAAACGTTGATACTGGAGGATGTGTATAGTACTGTCGTGGAGGATATGTTGTGTTTTGGAGCAGTCTCGGGAGTTGTGGTTGGGGTAGCTGTAGTTGTGGTGCTTGTGGTATAATTAATTGTTGTGGAAGTGTAGAGGAAGTGTTGTGGTGTCGGTCGTAGTAGATGGTGTGGTGGAGATGTGGTTGTTCTAGTGTAGACGGTTCTTGTGGTGGAGGTGTTGGTCTAGGTGATGGTGTTGGAGTATGTGATAGTGATGGTGTTGGGGAGTGTGTTGAGTCTCGTGGTCTCGTGGTGTCTCGTGGCTGTCTGGATAGTGTAGGGGATCTGTGCCGTCTGGATAATGTAGGGGATCTTTCATGTCTTAATAGGGTAGGGGATCTTTCATGCCTGAGTAGGGGGACGGATCTTTCATGTCTGGGTATGGGAGGGGATATTGGTGAAGTTGCTGTCTGGATAGTGTAGGGGATCTGTGCCGTCTGGATAATGTAGGGGATCTTTCATGCCTGAGTAGGGGGACGGATCTTTCATGTCTGGGTATGGGAGGGGATATTTCATGTCTGGGTAGGGTAGGGGATTTTCATGTCTGAGTAGGGTAGGGTATCTTTCATGTCTGGGTAGGGGAGGGGATCTTTCACGTCTGGTTGGGCTTCTGTCCTGTCTTGAGCCCCTCGACACACTCCTCCCTCTGCCACGCCTACCAAATGACCTGAGGCCTTGTGGCCTGCCCCGTGATGTAGAATTCCTGCCCCTCCTCGCACTACCTTCATGTAGCCGTAGTATGTTGACTACTGTCTCCGGATTGTCATTATGTCTGAAACATTAAAGTTAAGAATTACCGTCTGTAACTTCCTGTTTTAGGGTACTATTACAAATAATTCACAGGTTATAAACTCAGTCATAAATGTTGCAATAAATCAACCCCCACTGGAACAGAACCACTTCTTAAGCTGAGGCTCTACTGACCGTAGTTTGTCAATGCTGAAATTGTCGCACGCTACAAGCGAGAATTAGGCGGCTTATGTGCCGTGGCGTTTCTAGCAGTATAGCGTTTGCGGTAGACGTCATCCCCCTCCTCATATTAATGTTAAATGGCTGATTAAGAATTTGTGACTATAGAGTTCACGTACAACATGCGGTTCACTGATTATCATAAACTAATTTAATGTTTGGAACTGTTTTAAACCTAACAGAAAAAATTTCATGTATATAAAAAAACCTAAGATTGTACGGACCCTGTAATCTGACCAAGCAAACCACTGCAGCAACTTCTGGCCCGGACTGTACTTTGGAGTTGGTGAAACGCTCTGTTTATTTATAAAATTAACCATTGGATTTTGTCAAATCTAGAGGATTTGGACTGTTATAAATCTGTAGTTTGTGATTCGCTTTTAATGTAGCACAAAAAAAGGAGTCTCATTCCCCTGAGTTAATAGTAACTGTTTATGCTATCTTAAGTATTAGAATGTCTACCATTTGTCATTAACCCACCACACTTACTATGATTAAAAGTAGGAATTACCATAATACTAAAGCTAAATCCAAACTGTGCAAAGGAATTGTGTTGACGAGAAAAAAATTACACCCAACTTCATCAAAACAACAATCATCAGAGGTGGTTACAGTTCAAAGAAGAAATAGTCTTAATCCCGAAAAGAGTATCGATAATTTAATTTAAATAACCCTTTGAATTCAAGCGATTACAATTTCCTTTGCGTCTGGCTTTCGCAATCACAAAGGCACAAGAGACATCCCTGACTATAACCAGTTTAAATTTATAAAATGCGTGCTTTTAACACGGACAGTTGTATGTTGCGTGCTCACGTCTTCGTACACCTAAAATCTTATACAGCCTATTTATATACCTAATAAAAAAACATTGTTTATCCACTGGCGTTAGAGTAAAATAAATACTCTTTTTTGTTCTTTGGTTGCTATTTACTTTTTAATTGTTTAAAATGAGGGCAGGCTCCTCACGTGGTTGAGAGGGAGGTTCCTGGCGGGGCATCAGATTTGGGGTTCGAGGGTTGTATTGATGTTAATGTTAACCCAGAAAATTTAAAATTTTCCAAAAAACATTGGAAAAATGTGTTTTTGCATAATAAAATATCAGTTATAGCTAAGGTTGGTATGACATCATCTGATGTTGATTTATACAGCGAAAATAGTGTTTCTTTTATCCATGTAATAATCCAAAGATTTCAAAAAAGAGTACAAGCTTTTTCACCTGGTATTTAGCAAATATAAAGAAAGAAATGGAAAATAAAAAGTCCATCGTTAAAATGAGCCTAGAAACACACTCATTAAATACGTACCTCAGATAAATCCTGAAAAAAAAATGTTCTCAAGTAAATACACCAGATGTAAACAGTGTAACGAATGATGTTTTTAACAAAGTGGCAAACCTTTTCAATCCTGAACAGAATACACTCTTGTAAATATAAAGAGTACATATGTAAAGGTGATTTATCATAACAGCCCTGTTATAGACAACATGGTTTGTTTTGATTCAGGTAGTGAGCAGTCTACTCCAGATATCCCAGAAGTACCTCTTGGTCATAATAGGACTGATATGGTTGTTTGTATTGATTCGGATAGTGAGCAGTCGAATCCAGACAAACCAGAAGTGTCTCCAAACTTTCAGTGTAAGCAGTCTACATTAAAAAGGGTAGATGTCCCCCTGGGGAGGGGGGCATCCTGGCTAATGTCATTAGATACTAATATGCAGTTGATCATTCTAACTAAGTATTGTATGCCTACTCCAGTTCCACTGACCTGTGTGTTGTGACAACATGCCCACCTACGAAGAAGAGATTGCTGCCGCAGTTATAATTCTAATTAATTGCAGTAACCATAGAATAACCCTAGTGGAAGTATCACTAAGACCGTCATTAAAAAAATGTCTAGTGATACGTACTACCTTTTGGGCCATTAGACATCACTACGCATCACTAGAATAATATCACTACAGGTAACTAAACTTGTAGTGATGTGTAGTGATCTCTAATGGCCCAAAAGATAGTACGTATCACTAGACATCATTAGAATGATATCACTACAGGTAACTAAACTTTTAGTAATGCTTTTAGTGATGACTTTTAGTGAACTTTTACTGGTAGTACATATCACTAGACATCATTAGAACCAAATCACTACAGAAAACTGGCACAAAGAAGCATGGTTTTAGTGTATTGCAATCTACTGACATATCAAAGATAACTTTTTTTACATAATATTTTGTTTGTTTCTGCAGAAATATGTTTTTCCTAAACTAAAAAAATCGGGACAATTTATTTTTTAAGTTTAGGTTACTTCAATAAAGGGTTTGGGAAATTGTAAATAGATTCAAGGTAGAGAACTCAATAATTTTGTGAACAAAAGCATTTATTATACATTAGTTAACATATAAAAAAAAATTAAGTCAACAACATTAAAAAACACATGACTGCAAGAAAACTTAAAAATGCACTTAAAAACTGAATAGGTTTAACATTGAAATACAGAAACACAAAAAAGGCAGCAGTGATATTTGGGAAAAAGTTGAAAAAGAAAATGAAAATGTTTTAACCTACCTGACGACATTGTTCCGCATCGTTCAAACTGTCGTCGTTGCACAACACCAGCGTAAAATAGACTTTCATGGTTTAGTCAGCAACAAAGTATATGTAGCGCACATATAAGAAGTGAACAGTTTAAATGGTTAAATTAGTAATAATAGCATTTATCCTAGTCGCGAATTAAAATGCAGATATGCTAGATAACTTGCCGACACTGTTCCGAATCGTTCTAACTGTCGACGTTGCATAACGCCTGCATACTATAGACCTTTATAGTGCAGTCAGCAACCATGTATAAATAGCGCACATATACAGTAGTGAATAGTTTAAATAACATAGTCAAATTACTAATAAAAGCATTTCTTCTTGTGGCGAAATGTTGATCGTATTGAACACAAAACCTGACAATCTTAAGATAATATTCAAGTAAACCTTTAAGATATGAAAAAATTAAGAATCAGATCTTGAAACTGGATATATACAAAATAACAAACATAACCATGTCCTAGCAAACATAAACTGTCTGCAGATTGATAAGTAATATCCTAGGCATCGGTTGATCGCTTTGAAATATTTGTCTCCAGAGGTTCTCGGGGCTTTAGTCCAGTTGAGTGGCTTCTGTTGAGAGTGAATATCTTTTGACTCACATATTGATTAATGGCTGCAGTGCGTAATTCCACTTCATTGGTGGATATGGTTGGGTCCTCGTCATACAACCTTTCTTGAAAAAGTTCTGAAACAAGAAAAGATAAAAAAATTACCTATTCCATTTAAGTGAAAATCCAGAACCAGATTGTCAACTATTGTTGCTTATTGAAAGCAATAATAATTCCAAAACATCTAAAACTGTATATTTTTACTAACAACTCCCCTTAAAAAAATGAAGAATAATTAGAATTTAAGATTTTTGATAAGCTCAGGGGAGGAAACTTCAAAGTCATGCTGAAAAACAAAAGCTACTTAATGACCTTTATTCACAAAGATCAACAATTATGGATAGTTGACTCTTTGTCATACATTACCTATTCTCCTTTCACCTTAAACTGGATACCTCCCTCACCGGCTTTGATTGAATGGTTTTAGCTTGAATTTTATTAAAATTTAAAAAAATATGATTTAAGTTAGAAAAAAAAGAAATAATAAGCATACAATTTTAAAATATCACTGTCTATTGGTTAGATAAACAATACTTATACTCACTCTTTAATCTGTCCATTTTTTGTGGAGTTAAACGTTGTTTTGCCTCGGCGTCCTTGAGGGCGTTACATTTTCTGCCAGTAACACTCCTATTCTCCAAGACTTCAGGCTCCCAAAGAAGTGTCAATAGGTTTTTTGTGAACAGTGAATCACCTGCTTTTCCTTTTTTTACTTGCCTTGCCAAGTGCAACTTATCTCTGTTGATATGGAATGGTTCCTGGAAAATAATTAACACAAATATTATTAAACTTAATATACCAAAATCAATCCTGCTTTTGTTGATCACACCATAACTTGTCAGCAGCTTCACAGATTTAATTCATTTTTTTTTCGTTCCCTAATGTTTTGAGTGTAACATTTTTAAGGAAAGATGTGAGGGAAATTACACATAAAATTGGTAAATGTTGGAAAACTTAGATTATAAACTTTGCATATTTTACATTATAGCGTATGTGTATAAAAATATAAAAATGAATGTGTATAATAAAAAACCTATACTTTAAACAATTTAATAAAAACCTTAACTAAAATAGGGAAACTACTTCCATTACCGGTATTTATAAAAAACTAAATTAATTAACTTGTCTATGAAGAAATAGCAAATATCACAACTACAAAATAAGCAAGCTAAAAAAGGAAGCAAAACTAACATCAGTTAGTTCACATTCAAATGGCTGTGAAAATAGTTCACTTGTTGAATGGCAGTGAAGCTTTTGGGTATATGCTCCTCCTCTAGCAGGATGATCTTTAAAGAAATTGTAGATGGCTCTTAAAAACTGGATGAGATTCCACCCTGTGACAGAGATTGCATTCTTGAAAGCGTTGTTGAGGGTGTGCAATTCACAGCTACCAAGATTCAGCATTTTATGCTCAAAATGTAGTTCATCGCTAAAATGTTTTTCTAGATCTTTTAAAAACTTCTTATTTATATTTGGGCCATCCATCGAAATCTGTATGAGTCTTTTTAAATCCAAGTCATTGACTGCAGCCAGAAAAGACTTTAGCAAGTCTGCCGCTGTGGCTTTTTTTTCAGAATCCTGATGTAAAATATCTTGTTGAAACCTCATTTTTGTTGGTGTTCCAGAATCTAACAACAATTTCCATTTGCTGGCTTTGGCTGACCTTGTTTAGGGATTCATCAAAACTCAGAGCAAAATACCCATTCAATTTGCAAGAATCCTGTATATCACGAACAACTTCTTGTTTGAAATATGGAGCCAATCCAAATACTGTGATATACCCAATTTTTGTCCGTTCAAGCTGCATTTTTTGGATGACGTCATTTTCAGGAAATGGTGTTTCAAGATGTACCTTTTGCAGTAGCTCGGTTGGACCTGTGAGTGCAGATGCTGTGCAGTGTCCAAATAACCTCGGCCTCAGTCACTTTTGTGTCTATTAAGTATTTATTTAAAAGATTAGGCCTACCTTTTTGAATGGCTGAACTTTTTAACACTGTGTCTAGGCCTACATCATAGTTGGTTTCAATAGCAACAGTAGCTGTGGAGGTGCTTGGTGCATCTAAGATTGTCCTAGATGACCCTGAAGAAGACGGCCCAGGCAACATAGTCGCAAATTCTGGAAAGAAAACAAAAAAAGGATTAGGCTAGGCTAAACATATAAAAAGCTACTTTACATCAAAATTTAAATAAAAAATGTTAGTTGGAATCCTTGTGTGGAAAGTCCATTTTAAAATAGGGATTTTTGCTAACAGTGTAAAGTTATTGTGACAAAAGCTATTTACACTTCACTTAATAGCTAAACTCATGCCATTGTCTTCCTTGCCTATATGAACCCCTGTAAACTAAGTAGGTAGGTAACCCCTTCAAATTATCCTAACCTCATTGTAAAATAAATCCTCCAGATAACTTTTTTAATTTTTTTATGTAAATGCATACAACCTCCTGACTGACATTTAAAACTGAGATTAATATGCTTAAGTTATATTTATATCCCCAAACATTACAGCCAAACTTTAGTTTGTAGGCTATATTCCAAATCTTTTGACATGATCTACCTTTGTGTCATAGATTACTCAATAACAAATTTAAAAAAAATAAATCAATATTCTGAGACAGCATTTTTTTTTATATAATAACCTACCTTCAACTCTTGATGTGGGCTTTATTGACGATTGGTCATCTGTGGCTGAAGTAACGGTGCTACTCTTCAAGAAAGACTTCAAATTAGCAGACCGGGCCATAGATGCGCCTGTATGTGCTTCTTGCCTTTTAAATGACTTCCCGTTCTTGAGTGCTTGTTTTCCCATTGATGATATAGCAATAGTAGTAGTAGGACAATATCTGCATTTGGCTGTGTACATATCGTTTCCTCTTGAAAGCCAAGACTTAAATTCAGGGTCGTCTAGCCCCCCCCCCCCCCCCCCCCGACTTGGAATCCACATTCACCATGGGTGTATTTCTTCATCTGAAACATAAGTTAGGCCTAAGTTAAAACACATTTGTTTTTAGAAAGATTACAAGAGACCAAGGAAGGGATTAAATTAAACTAACTAAAACTTTCCAAAAGAGGCATCATGCAGTAAGTAGGTCTTAGTAATTCTCATTCATTGTGCCAAGTTATGCTTTACCAAAACAACATAAGCAAGGGGTTAAGCACGGCTTAAAGATTATGTTATCACTGAAATTAAGTAAACTGACATAACCCCAACACAATCTAGTCTAGTCTTTTTTAATTAAAAAAAGAGTTATCCAATTACACCTAACCAACTTAATTAGTATCCTATTCTGGAAATAAATACCCTAGCCTAGGCCTACCATTTAACTTAACTCAAACATTGTTATTTGATTCCAAATAAATTGCATTCCATAGGCTCAATAATGATAATTTAGATTAAATTAGGGTTCAGTTAAGTTACTGCATTTTGCTAATATTATGAGATATAAACTTAGGCAAGCTATGCCTACTAGGGTAGGGTTATTCCTAGAGCCTAGTTTAGATTTTCTGATCAAGTTTAATTCAGCTAACTTCTTGAAAAAGGTTACTAGCCTACATATAACACACATGAAGAATGGAAGATTTCACACATTTTCCCCATTTTAAACATAGATATTATAATTGCACACCAAAATCCATTGTGTATCTAAAACTTTCAAGGCGAGTATGAGTGAAGGATGAGTAGCCTTGTTACTGACATCTGATTCATACGTCAGGTTCATTAATTAATAGCCTATTGAGCAATAGCTACTATATGATAACTCAAGAATAATGTCCAAATAGGCCTGTAACTTGGTTATAAGCATTTTACAAGGCTAGCCTTTCTTGATATTAGTAGACGACAACAGTCTTATTTGTTTTGACAGGAGCCATAGCTTGAGTAAGTTTTGCAAAATAATCAATATAATAATGTGTTACAATGGTATTGGATATACATTTTTAATGTAAAAAAATGTGAGTATAAAAAATTCGTAGTTTCACCTTTGAGGCACAAAATATTTATTACCTAAACCAAAATAATTTAAACTTACCTTAAAAGTTATTTGTTATTATCAAAGTAATAGAAGTGCCGCCATCTTGATTTCATGAGTGTGTAGTCAGTTCTGTTCTAGTTGGAGTTGGATTGGAGTAGAGGAGGGAATTGGTAGAAAGGCCGTGAACAATCTAACAACCTATACTATATTAAACACACATTTTCTTCCTCTCGTTTTTCCAGTTTGGCAGTATTACAATCATTCCAAATAGATAACTTGTTTTAAACTAGCTATTCATTGATTTAAAAAAAAACAAACACTGTCTGTAACTTTGTTTAATGTAAAACAGAATAAAACCAAATTGAAACGTATCACTCACCTTAACAAAATGGAGCTGAATAGTAACATAATGCAGACAAATACGAAATAGGATAAAGGCAGGATAAATAAAACACAATGTTAAATATTTTTATTTCAGTTTAGTTAGTTAGTGAATTAAAAATATAAATTCGAAAATTGCCCTTATTATTTTTATTTTATATACGTAGGGCCATTGACTTCACAACTCTTTGATAATATGTAGTCAATGACAGTACCTTGGTCGCTTTCCGACACTGAGCTAAAGGAGATAGGCTACAACTCAAGGTAGCACTGGTTAAGTCTAAAATGAGCAATTTACGTTAAAAATAAGATTAATATTCAATTAGAAAATTCCCGGTTTTAGACCAAAATTCACGCATAATTCCCGGTTTTCCCGGTCGGTGGACACCCTGTTTAACCCTATAGGTACACATACAATTTTCCAATTTCTCTCTAACCATTTTAAATACCATGATAATTTTGAATACCTTAAAAAGCAAATAATTTTGTTCATTGAATTTTTTTACGGTATTGGTTACCAAGAAAATTCAAAAATTATAAATTTATCATTCACATGTTATTTTTATGGAGGATAAATAAACTGTTGTAGTTAACTCGTTTATGGATATATTTTAATCAAACTTGAAAATTTATTTATATTCACCTAAGCCATTAATATTAAAATAACAAAAAAACACACACTTTATTACCCTCCCCGTAGCAGCAAACCTAGGAACTAATTAATATTGAATATAATATAAATTAATATTGGAATGGATTTAACTGAAAATAAAATCAGGCAAATGGAAATCAGGCAAATGGAAACTCAATTAATCTGCAGGTTTGTTGCTGTGAGATTATTTTGCCTATTCAATGAAATGCAGAGACGGTATCACAACACGTGATTGCAAGGAAAATGAAACGATTGCTTCAGATCTCTGAAGAGAGTTGAAAAAAAAACAAAAAACTGAAACATTTTAATTATTTTGATTATTAGCGGCCGCCATTTTTAAATAACTTGATCAAATTCGACCATTGACAACCTGGGATTAGATATCGTATTCAAGCACTTGTATGCCGAATTTCATTAAAATTGGTTCACACATTTGGGTGTTATAACCAATTCATAGCCACCCAGCATTCTCTTACGGGTGCCATATTGATGACGTCATTCTGGGCGACCGAGGTCCTAAAAATTTGAGTTCTGGGCGGTTTTACATTCTTGGTCTTATATATTATCACCAATCTAAGTTGCAAGATCGCCACCAGAACTGAAATGTTTTCCTGCTACCCATCTCCACTACTAAGCTGAGAAGAACGAAGAAGACCCTGACGATTCCATGGATGGTGATGATGCATCAGTAGCTGATGAACAATATGACACGCGGTGGTTAAAAAGGCGTACTACGAGTTTCTTGGTTAATTTTCCTCACAACTTGAACATATGACACAGACTCATGATCAATTTTGTAATAATTTTTATTTCCTGGATTATTTTACCCTAATTAATTTGTCATATTTAGCTTTTCATTAATAAATTAGTCTTTTTCTTATTAACTGTTGGTTGTATCGATTTTTTGTGCTTTTTTTATTCTGCATCCTAAGAGACATCATCATCATCATCATCATTCTTTATTGATTTTCCCTCAAGGGGTACATCAAAAAAATACATTTCCAAAATACAATTACAATTTATAAATACCTCATAAATAAATACTGTATAAACATAGAATACTGGTAGAAGAACAATAAATAAAAAAACTATTAACTAAAAAAACTAAAAGTTATTATTTTTATTAAATAATTATTAAAAATTATTAACTGTTGGTTGCATCGATTTTTTTTCTTTTTTTATTCTGCATCCGAAGAAACATAGAAAACGACCCCCCACTTGTTTGGATCCCATAAATAAAATTTTTTCTCAAAATCACTAACCCCATTAACTTCAACCCCCATAAAATGGTACTTCCAACCCCACAATCACTAGGGACTCTTCACATTTCAAAACCTAATGGTAAGTACTACGATTCCTGTAAGTTTCATGAATGGACCAATTTTTAGGTTTTCTTAGGTGAGTTTTATCTGTAGGTACTACAGGTAAATACACCAGATGTAAACACTGTAACGAATGATGTGTTTAAAAAAGAGGCAAACCTTTTAAATCCTAAAAAGAATACACTCTTGTAAATATAAAGAGTACATATGTAAAGGTGATTAATCATAACAGCCCTGTTATAGACAACATGGTTTGTTTTGATTCAGGTAGAGAGCAGTCTACTCCAGATATCCCAGAAGTACCTCTTGGTCATAATAGGACTGAAACGGTTGTTTGTATTGATTCGGATAGTGAGCAGCCGAATCCAGACATACCAGAAGTGTCTCCAAACTTTCAGTGTAAGCAGTCGACATTAAAAAAAAGGTGTCATTGTTGATTTTGAAACAAATTGCTTGGAAACTGTAACATACAAAGACAGCAATCGACAGTTACAATAAATGTATGTAAACAGCATTTGGTAAGTTTCGACATTCCAGAATCAACTTCGTCAAACATGTGTAACGAGAAAGGAAAATTGTTGACTAATGTCAATCCGAAAAACATTTCAGACTGCTTTTTCCATGTCAGTAAAGGTTGTGTATTACAAATTAAGAATGTCAACTATTCAAAAGGAAGGAGTGGCCTTTTTCTTTCAATTTATTGTTACAGTACTGTGGTCACAATAGAGTAACAACGTTCCGATTGGTTTGCTCTAAGGAACACTCAAGCGTATCAGTTAGTTCCGACGTATATTCAAATTCCTAACAATGTTTGCATTCTTACAACAACAAAAAACAGAGAATTAAGTGGAATAGCCAGGGATATAATGAAAGGGTTGTGTCCATTTTGCGGTCGTCCATTTACCGGTCAAGGGTAAAATCGTCCATTTACCGGTCAACCCAAAAGGAACTCCTAAAGACAGGTGCATCCCTTGTAAGGTTCGACAAAGTTAATAAATATGATAAAGAATCAGTAAAGTTGAATAATATACTGGATGCTAAATCATAAGTCTGATGAGAAAGGCTAATTGTGAAGCATTGGCCGCAGATGATCTACATAAAGATAGTCTAACTGATTTGTTCTTGATGCGTGACCAACAGAAAAATGCTAAAGAGAGGTACCTGCAACATTGAAGTCACCCCTATCAGGTTATTATTTACAGTCACGAAGAGCTTGATGTTACCATCATTGCTAAGGAGAAAGCCAAAAGTAAAAAGAAGGTTTTTGTTTTACATTTGGATGCTACTGGTACTGTCGTACGTCCTGAAACGAGTATTTTATTTCGTCATTGCATTCCAAATTGATGACAGCATAATACCATTGTCTGAATACATTTCTCGTAAGCATAATTCACTTCTTATTGGTTCGTGGCTCATTATGTTGAAAGATTTCCTCGTTGCGAACAAAAAATGGCCCTTATGTAGACGTATTTTGACTGACTTCAGTTGGGCAATGATTGAGGCAGCGTGTGTACATTGGAACAAAATG